TATGCAAAACATAATTGAGTTAATAATGCATTAAAACTAGAGCGATTATATGTATCACATAATTTTCTAAATTATTATTTGCTGATCGATTAAATAATATATATTTATATTGTTATCAATATCATGTATACTTATCTTATGTATAATAATATAAATAACATATGTATATAAATAATATAATGTATAAATATCTTATGTATAATATCATCAATATCATGTATACTTTCTATTTAAAAATTAAGGGACATCGTGTAGACGACGTGATGGTAAATGACTGATAAGAAAGCGACTATATTGCAAAAAGTATAAACGTCGCCAAAGATCAGCTTATTCTCGAACGTGACACTAAAACGGCGATAACTTTCTCACGAAGTTTCCTCATTAAGGTGCGCGAGGAGAGAAGCGAGGAAAGTTTTCAATCAACGAAGAATGAGACAGCCTAAACTCGCGATCAATGATGGTATCCCAAATAATGATTCGTAATAGCGAGGATAATTTTCAGTTCACATCTCGAAACGATATGCAATGTCGTAATAGAATATTATGATTCGCTATGAAAAGCAATCTCGCGATGCAATTAAAATTAATTTGCACATTTTAAGAGAAATTACTGTATAATTTTAATGTCCACTTTTGCAATATTATATAGCATTATTATAGTAATAAAAAAATTGGTAAACATTTTATTTAAATGAGATTTTACTTGAAAATATTTTTTGTGAAAAATTTCAGAAAATAGAAAAACATAAATACGATTATTATAAAAATACACACGATTATTACTAAATTAATAAATTTTTTTTACTGGTACTAAATATTCTTGTATGTATCCGAATAATACAAAGAATATTCAGTCAATTCTTCGAGTTGCTTTTCACTTTAATACATCACAAATATACGTCATTAAAAATTCAGTATCTTTCTTACGCCGTACAAGAGCAATAATATTTAATGCTGAGCAACAATGAGATCCTTATGTGCCTCGAAGGGCATTTGGCGAAAAGGAAAGGCTCGTGAACGTGCTCGAGAGCCCATCATCGAGAACGCTTAAAGTCATGTTAGCAACGATTTGTGTATTCCTGACGGTATCGTTAAAAAGAATTCTTTTGATGGTTATAATACAAACCGCGGATTAATTCGAGCTCACGAGAATGTCTTTTGCTCGACCACAGAATTGCATAATAGTTCTTTCTCTCTCTCTCTCCAATATTCTTCCCCCACTCTATCTCCCTCTCGCTCTATCTCTATCTTACGCGGCATGCAAACTGTTCATGTTACCAGCTGTTTGATAATTCCTGCTTTTTGCAAGCTTGTTTGAAATCGCATCCTGTAACATCCCCAAATGTGCGCATATACGTGTTCATCTCTGAAATTAGCATCTGTACAAACTAATTATCTTGAGAGAGAAATCCGCTCAACGTATTAATCATATTCACTGCATATATGTATGTACAAATTAGGAACATGTGGCATATAATCAAATATTGCAGATGAAATTCAAAGGCCATCATAGACAGATAATTTGGATACAGTTACTCAAAAAATTAATGTATGTATGTAAATATGTTATAGTAAAGATTAAAATACGAGATCGACAAAAATATTTTGCACTCGAGAGAAAACAATCACTTTCTACTAAAAGCATGTCCTTATATTAATTTTATTTAAATGAGATTTAAAGATTGTCGAATTATGACTTCTTTACTATTGAAATAATTTTATCTTTAGTTTATAATCTCCATCCTCCATCTGTTTTTACAAAAGCATCCCGGGATTGTCGAGGACGTATAAAATGACAATTCAAATAGTATTTTACGCCCAGATTAATGTCGCATACGAGTAATCTGGTATAGTTGCAGCTGCACATTTCTCGGATACGGCTAAAGGGGGACAAATAACGAACGATTTAATGTTTCACCCCTCCTCTCGTAACAGAATCTATTTCTGTTATCTTCGCACGCGATACAAGCGTACAGTTGAAGCGAAAGGGATGCGACTGTCAGGGGAGGACGACCGGTGTTCCACGCGATACCGACGTGCACTATACGCCTAAAAATACTCTCGCCAGAAACACTATAATATAATTATCTCCGTGATGTATAGAGTACCCATTCACTCTTCTTAACGGTCGACATTTGTCATCCGCTGCAGATGACACGGGCTGCTTATCTGTTACCCTTCGGTTCCCCCATCGTTCGCAAGAGAGTATATTAATTTCTCATTGAAGCTTGGTAAAAAAAAATATATTTCAAAAACGATGAATCTCGAGGCTCTTCATGTTTCTCCGGTTCTTTCATTTTGGTTCTTTGATTCTTTATTTTATCGCTACTTTTGCAGGGGTTTCGTTTGAAATGTATGAAAGTTACGATAGAGTATAAAGTGATGTTTATGCTTCAAAACCCTTTAGAGAGAGAGACGAGTTACGTAAACGCGCGCATCAATAAAAACAAAATACGTTAGATCATTTTTTTGCACGCAATAAAGTGCGATGAATCAATAATTTTTCGCGTCTCGAAATGAGTTTATCCAAAATGCGCGTGGAACAGAGCGCGATCGGCGACGCGCCCAAGTTTTTCCGGGAAAAAACAAACTTCGTTATCCACGAGGGCCGTGATAGGCGCGGTGATAGCGTCGTTTATTTGATTTCCCGCTTACCAGGGCGAACGCCAAGCGAAAAAAATCTACATCAATATCGACATCGATCGACGCGGGGGGGGGCGGGGGGAGGGGGCGACATAGCGCAACGATATACCGATATACTCGATTAATCATTTCGGGTTCATACCTCGGGATTTTAGCGCGCGACAAAAGCTTGAATGGCCGGATTCCGGCGAAGCGTGACGGAACGCGAAACGGACAATACGTATGAAATATAACGGCGCCGATGAAAATTTCTCGGGACAAAAGCGGACGCGCGCTTTTCCGCGATCTCCGCGTCGCCGAATTCGTGAATTAGCAAGTCAAAGCGACGAAGGGAATCACAGTTCGATTAATTATATCGTTTTCCCGCCTCTTTCTCTCAGTCTTGCTCTCCTCTCCCCCGCTCTAAAATCCTGGATTTATAATCAATGTCACGAAATAAAGAGACTAATGGGCATCTCATTATTTATCTTGCTGCGTGCAATTTAAAAATCTCGCCGACGTTATATCAAGTTTTTTGGAATAAAACACTTAACAAAATTTGTCATAAATTTAGTGTGTCATGCAATAATTTTTTGAAATTTTAATATAAAATTTTAGTTTATAAGATTTAATAATAAAAAAAATGTTAATAATAGTGAAAAATATTATATTGTAGAAAGAAAAAAAAAATATTGATATAATTGAATGATGATATAATTATTGTCATTCAATTATATCAATATTTTTTTTCTTTCTACAGTATAATTGAATTTTTCAATATTTATATCAATATTTTTTTTCTTTCTATAGTATAATTGAATGACGATATAATTATCGTTTTCTCTTCTCTTTCTCTCAGTCTTCCTCTCCTCTCCCCCGCTCTAAAATCCTGGATTTATAATCAATGTCACGAAATAAAGAAACTAATGGGTATCTCATTGTTTATCTTGCTACGTGCAATTTAAAAATCTCGCCGGCGTTATATCAAGTTTTTTTTTAATAAAACACTTAACAAAATTTGTCATAAATTTAGTGTCATGCTTTTTGAAATTTTAATATAAAATTTTAATTTATAAAATTTAATAATAAAAAAAATGTTAATAATAGTGTAAAATATTATGCTGTAGAAAGAAAAAAAATATTGAATGACGATATAATTATCATGCTGTATACTTGATAAATACTTTGTAAATTTAAATATCAATTAAATTCAAGCAGCATTGTTTAACGCGAGCGAGTCTGCTTTTCTGATGACAGAAGCGGTGTGCACTTTTTCACCTCGCTTCAAAGCGACGAAAATCAAGAACGTCGCGACGCCGGCTTAACGCCCGCGTTGCGTCGTTAATACGCGCAAAAGATCAAAGGACGAATCATTCCGCTCGCGGGCAGTTGGGAATTAGCAAATCAAAGGGAACCGCTAATACACTTTCCTTGTGGCGAAATGACGACTCCTGCCTTAGGTAGTAGGTCTCGAAACGTCGAAAGGGCAGGCAGCGATATCGATCGCATCTGCTGTCCTTGTCTGCCGGCAGACAAAGGGCTCGTTTCCCCGATATTCCAGGGAAAACTGTGTCAGCATCGATCGAGATCGATCCCCGAGGAAAGAAAAGCAATTTTCATTGAAAACAAACGATAAGCCAATATTATTAAAGCTAATATAATCTCAATATTCGTTATCCTCCTTCAATTCATAACGCGGTAAATAATAGATTAACGAAGTATAATAAATATAATCTCGCCTAAGTTCAGCTTTAAAGATTCAAAAACGTGCCACTTTGGGCCTCTTCAAAGATTTAATAACGTACCGTTTAAAACGCGCAGTTCAACGCCCCTAATTCACAGCTGAAAAATAGATCCTACAGTCGTAAACGCAATCGATATCGACGATATACTCTATGATGATCTCGCGGGAACGAAAAGAAATAAAAAAAAAACAGCTCGAGAGAAGCTCGAGCGAGCGTCGTGCGCGCGAGACCAATTTGACATTAGCAAGTCAAAGTGCGCGAACGCGCCTGTCATCGTCCCGCCGTCCTACCGCAGATAATGCGTACCTTTGTCGCGACAAAATGATGGTTTTCGTGAAGCAGCTTAATCTCGTCGCCCTTCCCAAATTACCGGGTCGTCCCAGCGGCTGGTGGCGACTCCGCTCTCTCCATAATTTGTAAGTGCGCCTCGGCCTGCTCTCACACCAGCCCCCATCTATCTCCCCCCTCCCCCTCCCCCGTGTCCCCGCTCGTTCCTTCGCTATCTTTCATTGGACTTTCCACGGCGAAATTACAGATCGAGCGACAAAACGTGAACGCAGAAACTTGGTTTTCTCTCTCGAAAGCCCCTACCCTTCCCGTTAGCATATTTCTCGTGGCTATTATTATACTCACGATCGTTCCGAACTAGACGGGGGATGTCAGATCAATCGATTAATTCGATGTTTCAATGGCACGTCGTGGGCAAGGCGTGAATGGGAGTCGATGATCGTGGAAGATGAACGCTGACAGAGTGGCTAGTGTAACCTAATGGAATGTGAAACATTGTTGAGAAATTATCCAATTCAATATATCCTATAATATGTTTCGAAATGACGCTACAGAGAATAATATAAATATAAAATATCGAATAAATATAAAAATATCGAACGATAGGGCGTGATTTAATTTCTATGAAAGCAACACGGTTTACTGTCACGTTTCGATCACTCCTTAATTCTATAAAATGTATATATTAATTATATATATAATTATAAGTTAGAATAAAAATTTAGTTGAAAAAATATTCGAGAAATTATATGATACATATTCGTTATAATTTTAATTTTATAATTTTCGTAATAAAAATTTAAATCGTAATAATACAAACTTTTATACAAAACTATAATACATGTAAGAACAATAATGATACGTAATATATCTTCGGTAGAGTTAAGTCAACCTTGATGTATACTTTGCTAAGATTCCTTTAACAATACTGTTTTGAGAAGTTCGAGGCTGGATTATTAATTGGACGGATTCTCAGAAGTGATAGTGCAAATGCAAGAGACGAGGATAAGCAACTTTGCCAAATCGAATTATCAACTACTCTATAACAATCCAAATTCAATCGGAATTCACGAGCTTCGCTATGGTCTTAGCGAAGCGCTATAGAAGACAGAGGAATAGAAATGCCACATTATTGAATAATAATTAACTCAAGGAGCAAACGGATAAGAGAAACATGTCGAAGTTAATTACATTGAATATTCCGAGATCGTCGGAACTCGAAAGTTTAGACAATAATGATAGCTTATAACGTATACATTTGCCTTCATCGCGGGGCCAGATTTATTCAATATTTACTATCGTAGAGAGATCGATAATACGTACGATATATATAAAATGAAGAGTAATCATTTACATCTCTAAGTATAGGAATCAATCTCCCTAAAGATGTGGCATCATCCTCGCCCACTTGTCTCTTTGATTAGTTTGACATTTCGTAGATGGATAGATGCGCATACGTTACAATGAACAATGATTTCCCGTAGCAAGTCATTCGACCTTTGATCAACGTCAACGGATTTATCCCGTTCCATAATTATTATGCCGTACCCGACGCTGACAGATAATTTAAATAAAGAGTTATGCGCGCGCGTGGAATTAACGAGGACCAGGTACAGTAATGTCGGAATGACGATCGTTAATTGTTACAGCGCGAACGAGTGTTTGGCATCACGACGGCACGTAGTTGTTCATTTCGGATTAGGATAATTGGGCTTGCAGAGGGTGTCAAACATCGGGGGTCACCGCGCTCACCCGGATTTCGCTAATTGGTATTATCAAGCTTTAGCGACTAATGATATTAATTGATGCTCGCCATCGCGTCACGAGTCAACTCATTCCGAGGTATTAAAGCTTTATTTACTGGAAAAAGAATGCCAATTTTCTGTAAGTCGTTTGAGACACGATACGAGATATTTGAGGAATTTTTGGATTTCTGTATTTTTATATTTTTAAATTAATTTCTCGACGATTTTTTTTTATTGAAATTAAAATGCCTGAAATTGTTTATTAAAACGTTTATATCATTTTTTTTCGTATTTCTTAGATTATTTAAAAATTCTTTTATTTAGATTATTAAATTCTTTTGTTAGATATTTTATTATATTTAGATTATTTAATTCTTTTATTTATAATATATATATTACAGTTAAATATATAATTATACATTAAATATATTATATATATTAAATATAATATATAAATTGTAAAATCTGTCATAATTGTAAATGGTAGTAAAGTGGTGTATTCTTGAAAAACAAACTATAAAATTCTGACATGTTTTAAAACTTGAGAAAGCCGGATTTCTCGAAGAAAAGCGCGGCGAAAAATCAGATCAACCGGAGAACAATGCGCTATATCTCATGTTCTCAGATTCTAACGCCTGGCAAGCGTTGCATAAGACGACAGGATGTTGGGAAAAACTCGATGCATGCATATAAACGCAAACGGAAATACGTGACAAACGTGTGATTTGCCTGTAAAGTGAAAGGGTGTCAGGGGCTCACGTGGGTGAGGTGGCTCACGGTTGAGTGAAATAGTACAGAATGGAATAAACGCATGAGCGGCTCGTTTTGAGAGAGAGACATGACTCGAATCTTGTAAAACGACCATATAAGTGTGATATGTTAGTAAATTATCAACGAAGGATATCGCGCGTGCTGCGAGAGTGGCATAAAGTGAAGTGGATTAACGTGGAAGATGATCTGTATACAAACACATGAACGCTCTCGTCGTAAAAATAATCTCGGAAAAAGCGTTGAATTTTAAAATTGATGTAATAAATTAGCGGTGGAGAGCGAGTTTACGTTGGAAATTATATTGGGGGAAGGACTACCGGTCTCTCGTTTACGTCAGCCGCGGATGAATATCAAATGTACACTCGCCCTTTAATGAACCCTCTTTACCAAGCGGATATGACGCGTAGTCGCGCGCGCACACGCGGAAATGAAATTGCGAAAATGCTAAGTAGCGTGGTGTATTCTTGGAAGTCCTTCTGGCCGTACTTATCGGCGTACTTCAACGCCGCTTAATTTATAGAGGCATAAAATAAACCCGGGGGGATCGATATAACCCGCTCTCTCCACGCGAAATCCACGACTATAACACGTACAAAAGGAGCGAGATCCTAATCGCGTCTCGACTCGCGAAACGAGAATTCGCGTGAGCGAATCCGTTCCGTCCATCCGTCCGTCTTACACCCCCTACTCGACCTTTACCGAGCACCCCGAGTGTACGAATGCTCTCCGTCTTATCTGTCGGGGCTATTTAAGACGTCGCCCGCGATCTCCATCAAGAGAGATAGCCGCGAAATCACACGCGGATTAACGGATAAACGACGGATGTGCACGAGTACCGTAAATTTTAGACGGACGGAAATATCCCTTCGATCCGCTCTCATTGATTCGCTCGGGGATTAGACAAATGATGAATACCGAGGAGTGTTCCATCCGTTCTATCGATCGTGCTAAATCTCGCGCTTAGCTTCTTGTTTATTGGGAAAAAATCAGACCGTTACCGATATACTAAATTTGTCTACTATTCATTTGGAAATTGAAGTATTATTGTCATAGATAATATTAGTATCGAATTAATTAGAGAGTATTTTCTGCGACAAATTTAAAATAGCCTTTTAAAAAGTTCAAGTGTGAACCGTGCTCTAGTTATTTAAAAATAATGATTATGGCATTTTTAACAGACTCTAGAATTACTTGAAAATATTTAACGTTCTAAAAAGTTTTTTCATTATAGTTCGACCTGATAATTTATAGCTCGATTGAAACTTGCGTATGTGTACGTGTGACACATATCGTATAAATAAACAAATTTCGTACAATATAAAAATATAATAGTATCAAAGTTAATCTAATGAATATATTTTAGAACAAAATTTAAGCGAAATAATATAAAATGACTCTTTAAATAAGACATTAAGTAATTCTTTTCAAGTAATTCTTTTTTTAAGTGAGATATTGTATATACAAATGCTTTGCCATTCTTTCTAGTTATTCTTAGTCTTGTATAAACTAAACGTCCCACGCGTTGCTTGCCGATATCTTTACAATTTCAATGCAAATTGCGCGCTACAGCCTGCGTGACTAATTTAATATGCCACGCTACCTTATTATCGCACGTAACAGAATAAAAAGCTTCAGAATTTTCGTACCAGAAACGCCGTGTTCTTCGCAAATTGTCAAATACACGATCGACTGTAATGTACTAGAATTTTATAAAATAATAGCCTTATTTATCGCCTAAAGGACATCGCGCTTAAATTATAGTCGATATTTAATTTACATTACATCGACATTATTTTTCATTGCTTTTCACACAGAAAGTACCCAGAATATGTGGAAAACTATTTTATATCATTTATGTATTCTAAAAAAAAATAAATACTTAATACAAGTATAATGATAGTATGATATAATCGATATATTAAGAGATATAAAAAAAGTTATAGTAAGTACAAATTATATCAATTTATCGCGCAATAAAAAATAGACATGTCGATATCAATTTAAACCGCGTAATTTCGATACACACAAAATTTCTCAACTACTAAGCAATTCCAGAGAGAGATTAATGATCGGTATCTCGCGGATAAGATTAAGATCGACTAATCCTTCGAATGGGAAGCAAATTTGAAAAACAAAAAAAAAAAAAACAAAAAAAAATGTTCTCGTCGCACGGGAGTAAAGGATGAGATCCGTTAACAGATTGCTTTTTCCGCCCGACGGCTGCTGGACGGCTAAAGCGAACGGGAGAATAATCTTCATGCGAGAGCAACGAAGGAGAAAGCGAGCAGGAAGTTGGTGGAAACGCGAACGGCGGCCTCGACGCCGCGTCGCGAAGGACCGACCGTTCACGAGAGCGCGGAGCGGGCTTAAAGGAGATAGCCGATAAAGATCCTCGCGCAGGACATGTGATACATGGCCCGACGGCCGTCGCGCTATCTCTCGCGTCTCTTCACGACAATCTTCTTCTCACACTTTGCCAAGAACCTAGTTCCTAGAAACGAACAGCATTTCCATGAATCGAAACAGTTCCTGCTTGCTTCTTCCTTTTTTTTTTTCGAATCGACGCGAGAACGATTCAATTGCTTTGTGTATCTTTTCGCAGATTGATTTTTAGAAGTCGAAGATGATGGTAATATATAATTGAGGGTTGATATAATATTGATATCTACTCAAAACAGAAATATTAATGTCTTAATAATCTTTTTTTTTCATTAGATTATAAAATGAATACATCTTATAATCTAATATATATAAATTATATATAATATATATAAAATATACTGATATAATATTATATAATTATTCTACATATTTTTATAATATATAATATATTTATATAATATATTTATATAATATATTTATATAATATATAATATATATTTTTTTTACATTCCAATTTCTCATGAATATGTTCGACAAAAAATGATATTTCATTGTGTTCACGGTTAAAGATATTTTATTTCGCGCCTTAATATATGTATATCATATAGGGAAAAGATTACAATGTATGAATGATTTATTGCGAACTTCTCTAAATCATTCTCTTTCGCTATTTTCATATTTCTTATATTTCTTATAATTATCATATACATCTCTGTATTTATAGAGTCAACTAGAAAAGGAGGAAGACCCATCGCATGTACAAACCACTAAAAATCTACGCTGAGACGTGTTGGCTCGTATTAAAGCTTTATAAGACATGCAACAGTTTAAGGAGTCCTCAAGAGATGTCAAGTTTGTTTAGGATTAGGAATTGCCTCGTGAATTCAACCCTTTCAAGAATCTCACAATAATCTCAATGTTCCAATACTTGTCCCAAGAAATGTTTACTATTCTATTAAGAGATTATCCCAGTTTCGAGAATACAATATTTTCCCTATATTTTACAGGTAACATAGATATAAGAAAAGCTTATCTATAAGGAAAACCAAAATTTACACAACGTTAAGAAATCGTTAAAATATTTAACTTTAGAAAGGCAAAAGATTAGAATATGGAAATTATTGTATTCTCTATTGTATTTTTAAACTGACGTCAATCATCCTAATCGAAAATATATTGAATTGATTAAACAATACGATAATTCTTCTTGTTTTATTATATAATAATATAAATTATGAGTGTAAAAATTAAGTGAGGAAAAAATGAATAGATATATACGACTTCCTATAAATCTTAAACAATGGAAAACGTTGACTTGGATGAATTAAGATTTACGAATACCTACAACAAAAAGATTTTAAGAAAGGAAGAAAAATTCCCTGCGGTGGGCACGAGGCAAAGAGTTTCGTTCGGATTTCTCTTATTTTCAACTTGGCTGCACGACACGACAATGCTCTTAAATTCACCGCCTTGGACTGCGGACAACGCCATTATACCCGGAGAAACTTTCGCGAAAATATCCTGCGGACGTGTCCGTAGAAATTAGGCCGATCATTGAAAATTCGCGGGAATCGAGTCGCTTTTGACTGAAATTTCGCAGTCTCATCGGCGAAAAGCCTCCACAATTTCATTGACCGATATTCAAAAAAAAAGGTTTGAAAAGTTTTGCACATGCATGTAAAAATTTTAGACACACGACACGCTCCGAAAAATTCTGATCAATCTGTATCATCTCTAATCATTCTCTAAATCATCTCTATATCGAACAATTTTAATTTACGAGAATTTAATCGAGAAGTAAAGTTCTGCCAATCATTTGGAATCCTGTTAAACTTGAATCGAGTAAAATAAATTCTAGATATTAAATAATTCAGTAATTATAATATACGCACACACACGTACACGCATGCGCTCCACTAAATTATTGTTATGGAGAAATCGACTTCGTATTCGTCAAAGAACTGTCGCGAACAGAAGCAGCGATAGTGACAGCTTGTACGTGTGACACTAGTATGTGCCACATGGCACTAAATTCCCGCGATTTAGCGCAAACTTTAAATGGGATCCGAGGTCGGTTCTACCATTTTATCTACGAGTATATACGCGCACTGACATAACACGCGCCGGTGTGTTTCGCATGATCGAGAGCCTCCGTGTTTTACGATCGCGCGATTTTATTTTCCCTTTTCTCTCTCTTTTTTTTCGCCGCGCGTGCGAGATCACTTTCGCATTTCACCCTGTATTGTGCGGGCTCGAACGAAGCGACAGACTGCGCGTGACAGCCGCCACGGCATAAACATCGATCTGCGAATATTACCGTGAAGCATTACTCGCGAAATGACTCTCGCGAATGCCGCCAACTATTCCAGGTTGCCAGGTGAAACAGAAACTTGAACCGTTTGCTATCAAATTGCCGAGCGACGACTATTAATGTTTGCATTCCCTGCCATATGATTGCGAACAATTTTTTTTTCCGATGCCGTAGAAGAGTTTCGTTTTACCAATAAGCGAAGTGACTTTTATATCGAGGAAAATGTTTACCGTTGCTTTTGGAGCAGAATGACAGAAATCATATGTTTTCGAAGAAGATACGTCGATACGTGTTATTCAATGATTTACGATCTGACTTGCGTTATTTTTCTCTGTAACTTTCCTCTTAATATGTTTTATTATTGAAATAAATACGAGATATGTGTACAAACATAACTCGAATTATGTTTCTAAAAGATACTGAGCAATGGTGAGCGCAATCAATAAATAATACGTTAACAAGAATATTTTGTTTCAGTAACTCGTATTATATTAATGGAAAAAATTATTCGTTAACTCCACTCGGACGAAATAAAAGTATAGTAAAAAAAGAAAAAAAAGATACCACTTTTTTGTATTTTTTAATATAACATAGTTGTATTAAATTATATAAAATATATTTTTTTACTTATATAAAATATTCCTTTTATACATATCGTAAATATAACATTTTATATATATTATAACATTTTATATATTTTATATATATTCTGTCAAACATTTTTAATGACAAAGCTTTACTTATTCTACAGAAGCAAGGCGCCATCAAAGCGGAAACTTTTCTGTGTTACAAAACATCCAGGTACACTCAAAAAATAAATGTATCATTTTTTCTTGGAATATTTTTATATAAGTTATCGTAAAAAAAATATAGGTTCCTCAAATTCTTATTGTTGCGATTTATTTGGAAATCTACGTATCGCGCGATCATCCGTTATAGAAGAGTGACTTGTTTCGCAAAACTTCGTGGAATGACAATGAGACAAATATGTCAGACAATTCTAACAATTTTGTCAGACGAAAGTTTGACTATTGTGACGTCCAAAATTGTGCCAATCTTTGTACACGAGTGATCGTAAACAATTTTTTTCGTAAAAGGAATTACGACTAAAATATCGATCAATTCATCAAACTTTTCTCTCACATTACTCTAAAAAAATTTAAATGATCATTTTTTGAAAATTTTCAAATTTCCCAATTTTTTAAAATACATTATAATACGTGAATTCGACTTCATGTAAAATAGAAAATTATTAACCACTATAGCTAAAGAATGCTATAAAAACTCTAAAGCCTATCTAATTTAACTGTATGCTTTTCTTGGAACTCTGTATTTTCAGACTTTGTCGATTACCGATAAGATAAGTTTTTCTGGACATTTCGTGACACGGAAAGATTTCCATTTTGATGACGTCTTGCTTCTTTAGGTAAGTAAATCTTATCGTTAAAATATAGAATTTACACTTGCCATATATAAAAGAATGTTTTATATAGTAAAAAAATATTATACAATTTAATATAATTATATAAGGTTCGTTCGAATATTACATTAGGAAAAACTTACCACTCAAATATGTAGACGACGGCGACGATGCCTCTGGATCCGTTACGACTTTGACGAGCGTCGCGACGCGTCGTCTGGACCCTTGAGGGACGACGGCTTTCTCTCTTCCTCTCTCTCTTGATATACACTTGCGTTAAGAACTCGCCTCCTATCCTCCGTCGTCCTGGCGATCACACACTTCCGCCACTGTCACTCACTCACTTTACGAGCTCTTCGATTACTACGCCCTTCTACAACCGGAGCCGACAACTCTGCGGCAAGTTGATGACAGACACTCGCGCCTCTCTCGATCTGTTTATCCGCGCGTCACTTCAATCTGTTCGTCGTCGCAGCACTTTGAAAGTTGTTGCGTTTCGCGCGGTTAAAGCGAACGTCGCACTATTCCCCGATCGCAATCGACAGATTTTGATTTCGGAATCGATCGCTCGCAAGAAGAAAAACTAGAGTACGAACTTGTTTCTCTCGCGATCAAAGAGATCAAAGTCGGATCACTCGGCGCAGGATAATTTGCCGAAGTCGATTATCCTAATCGCAGAAACCTTCCTCGCTACTTCGTCCTTCGTCCCGTTAAACGTCGAAATTTCAACCGGCTTTCTCTGCCCTCTGTTCAACGAGAAGACGCGCACACCGCACGCAGGCCAGCCTACCGCGCACTACGGTACCAGCCTGTCAACTGAAGCGCCACTGCGACCTACAGCTAGGATCCGACTGGTTTCCTCGGCCTCCCCTCCACTCCGGCGAGACCCCACCACTCCTCTCCCCCCACCACCCGCCTCACGCCGTCGCGCGCGCGATTCTACGCGCGCCCTATCTTCCGTTCAAGAGAGAGATCCCCTCTCCCCCTTCTCACTCTATCGAATCTGTCTCTCTCTTTCTTCGCCTCCTTCTTCAGGAACTATCCCTTTCTCTCTCTCTCTCTCTCTCTCATTTTCGTCATTCCTGTTTCCCTCTCTTTTTCTCTTTAGCTCGTTTGCCATCTTTGTTCGCATTCCAACGGTGGTCGGTTCCTCTCCCTACGATCGTCCCTGTCTTTCCCGTGCTATGCCATGTTCCGACTGCCTAACACCGACCCTTCACGTACGAACGACCGAACGACCACCCCGTTCTCTCCTCTGACACAGCGCACACGATCAACCTCTCTCGTCTTTCTCTCTCTCTCTCATTTCTCTCGGAGAAGCCGCGACGCGCCAGAGGTGCACCCTTCGCCAAGGACTTTCCGGATCTCCCACATCTCCCTCCCCCATCCTCCGTCCGCGTCCTAACCAGCCGTTCCTTTCAGAAATATTTCGACGTCCGCGCGCATGTACATCCTTGCACCTGACTCCTCCGCCGAGTTTTCCTCGGTCGAGGAAGCGGGCCGGCCAATCCCGGGCACATGTTCGACACTTCCACTCGTGCCATTCTTCTCGGATCAGACCGGGGGGGACGCGAGAGAGGCTTGGGAAATCTCTTTATCATACTCGCGAGCAAGCGACTTCTACATCGGAGAGAATGATGTTACTCTCTTTTTTCTCTCCGACCATTGGACTTCAACGTGACGGTCAGAATCGAGAAAGAAATTTCCATCGAATAAAGCTAAGCGTAATCGTTTTTACGGCTTATCGTTACAAGATGCGAATAATGAAATAGGAATCGTGAAAGATGTTACAATTATTAGGGTGCTATAATAAATGATGAGAAATTTAGCTGAAGCTAGAATTATATTTAGAGAAATCACCAGTTGTCCGAAACTAAAATAATAATATAACACGATTGTCTTTTTAGCAAAATTATAATTTCAAATAATTATTTAATGACACACATTTGTATTTTTTAATATTATAATTAAATTTGTTAATATATATATATTAATGATCTCTATTTTACATTAATTAATGTTTATTCTTTATCATACTCGCGAGCAAGCGACTTCTACATCGAAGAGAATGATGTTACTCTCTTTTTTCTCTCCGACCATTGGACTTCAACGTGACGGTCAGAATCGAGAAAGAAATTTCCATCGAATAAAGCTAAGCGCAATCGTTTTCGCTTATCAATGCAAGATGCGAATAATGAAATAGGAATCACGAAGGGTGTCACAATTATTAAGGTGCTATAATAAATGATGAGAAATTTAGCGGAAGCTAGGATTATATTTAGAGAAATAACCAGTTGCCCAAAATTAAAATAATGATATAACACGATTGTTTTTTTAGCAAAATTATAATTTCAGATAATTATTTTTAATAACACACATTTGTATTCTTTAATAATTAAATTTGTTAATATATATATTAATGATCTCTATTTTACATTAGTTAATGTTTATTTTAATATATCGTACTATTCATAATTATGGCTAAAAAAGGTATTACGCGAAATAAATTATTATTACAAAATAACAGTTAGAATTTTGTTAAAACCGAGAGAAATTTTCACATCAACGAAAATTGATTTAAGCTCAATACATGGAAATTTCAACAAAACTAGATTAATTTGCGAAGCTGCTTATAAATTCCTTTCATTACGATGAAAACTGCAGTCCCCGGGGATTACTGCATATTTGCGGTGTGAATTTTGGTACGATCCCGTAATTACATCACCACTATTTGCAAGACACTTTTCACATAGCTCTCCCATTCGGCGAATGGCGTCGATGCGAGTGACATTTCCATTTCCACTGCGGGCAACACGCATAAATTCGATACGCGCGACGAGTTCTCATGCTTCACGAGGTTACGCTAATTTCCACTATGATACCCGCATCATGCCGACCACAATTAACCGACGATTAATTGAATATGTAGATCCTTTTACTCCGAGATATCGCGCGCGTCATAAGAGTCGCCGTCACACGAGCAAAGGTATCGCGAAATAGATCATTAGTCATTGCTATTTCACATTTTCCATTTTATTTTACATTTTCTCGGTACCTCTGTCATATATTTCAAACATTTAAAGCATACTTATCTATCTACCTACATGATTATATTAGCGGCGACATCAGCGAAATTGAAATATCACGCGTTAGCAAGTAAATTACATCCCATAAATAGGATCAGCTGTATTTCACATATATGTCAATTTGGTCGAGCATTTTAAATTTCGATGCACACATCAACACACAGATTTAAAACTCAATAACAATTAATTTCAATTACACATTATCTATTTATTTCTAAAATGACAGAACACTCGTGCAAACAATTTTGTTCATACTTGTTATGTTTTAAAAATGAGAAAAATTCAACCGAAATAAATAGCTGGTATAATTATTACAAAATGTAATCTAATACTACGATATTCTGATCATAAGCAATAACATATGTTTAATTGTAAATCAAATATAATTAAAAAGCCTTTCGGTCAATTCAATAACCATCTCTTTACTACTTTCGCATCTTTTCTCCGCTTTAATATCGCTTAAATCTTTTTACGTATTCTAGAATGCTATCCGTGTATCGGGAAAGCCTCCTTCTGAACCCATCAAATTTCGCGCTGCCGCAAGCAAAAAAAAGCACGCAGAATTTAATTCTTGCCCCTTGGCTTGAGCGTAGTCGCTCTTGAAAATTGGATTTTTTTAATGAAACCTCATTCGCCTGGAAGCAGCAGCAGCCGAAGATTAAGTTTCTCGGTAGACAATATCGGCACTTGCCTTTAACGGCCCCTAGAAACGTATTGCAATTATGCTCCATACGCGCGACAAATTATATTTCATCATTATTTCGACATTCGTAATATATAGACCTCACAGAATCAATAATGCCGTTTATACATATAAATAAATTCTGATTATACTTGACCGCGCTTAAAATTTCACGATAATGTTATCGCCGATCCTAATTTCATATATATCATCGCAATTATTAATAACACAATATTGCGAATACACTATTAAGCTTGCTAATATAACCATGACGCAGTTCAATTATTTATCATTATGAGGTTATCAGTAGTGCGTATCAAAACGTCATTTAGCGCAGATATCTTTAGCAGATAACTAAAATTTTCAGACGGGCGCCCCATAGCTATAAATACGTCACTTTGACAACTGTTACATTAGTCTTGTATAGAGGATGACATTTTAAATGTGCGTAACACACTGACAAATGCACTAATCTCGGCACTCAAGGGAGACCTTGAATCTTATCCCAACTTAAAATCACTAATCGGTCGATAAAACTTGAACTTATTGCTTTCGCTTTAATAGCACCGGATTATCGAGGCCTACTCTTAATCGTACACACGCAGAGTAAAAGTGATAATAATCGTAATTTACATCTGTTCCATAATTCTTAATTTATGAAACTTTAAATTTTCATAAGTCGCAAATACCTAAGAAACTATCCCGCTCGCACGTGTTTTAAATACAAAATGAATATGTGTTTATGAGATTCTACAAAACTTATATCCTCCCTCTTCGCGCGAATCTTGATTATGTGCATCTTAAAAATTATAATTTAATATAACACTCAATATCCTAGAATGTTCCACTAATATAAGAAAAATTGTATTTAATATTATTACTTTTAATAACACGTGAAGTAGAAAAATAAAAAATTTGTATTAATAAAAATTCTAAAATTATGATGACATGCGATTTTGTGTTGAAAAAACATTGAATTTGTGTGCGCTTTTTTTATTTGTTGTTCTCTCTACGAGCAAATTAATATTAAAATATAAAAAAAAATAAAAAATAATCCGTCCACATACACGCAATATTATCTCTAAAATAAATTTGTTCAAAAATCTCTAATTTATAATGCAGTTTATTGTCACAAATAAAATCTGCTTTGTTCATAAAAAAATATCGATTGCTTATTTTCACACGACAATGGATTAATTTATCCCGCAGTCTGCATAGATACGCATCGTCGTGAGCACTCTATCAATTCATTATGCTATATTCCGGTGCAAACAAATTTCGCAAATCCCGAGAGAACTGTCATACTACCATCGATCATATTTGCACACCAACCAGCTAGCATGTCTGGCCTCGAATAAAAAAGTTGAGGACGTTAACGACTTATACACTAATTATAGAGTTATAGCCTCGGTTATAACCCTGCCTTTAACAATTGAGAACAATTTAGAAAGTGGTAGTATGTTCACAATTCCGCATTCGAGGAGTTACATTTTTTTTGTCATACTCTTTCGACCATTCCTGGTTGACCTTGCAACCGTCATTTCTACCTAACTTTTTCTTTGCCATGATGACACGAAACAAACCCCGTTAGATACGGATTACTCAGCAGGTAAGAATGGAGAGACTTGAGCTTCAAAAGTTTGAAAGCCATTTATCTCTAGCTGTGTCAACGATTTTGTCGAATCTCTGTCGAAAGGTCAGTGTGTTTTTCATCTGCATTAGTGGAGGAGATTGAATAGAATGAATGTTTTATGATCCGAAACGAAAATTCACTTTTCATTGTAGTTCAAGGTAATTCTATGGAGCGACATAATATGAGACTATTATGCTGGAGATCTCATGATGTAATCAAAAAAATTACTAATTCTTTACTCAATCCATCTTTTCTTAAAAAGAATGTGTTGATTCTTGAAATATAGTTTCGAAATTATAAGTAATTTGAAACACACATTACTTTTTATGAACAAAAAGCTCCAAAAATGCAAATAAATAATCATTCTTGTTCTTCAATTTATCAGATTAATGAATCTTATTTTAACAAATTTGAATTTAAAATTTAAATTAAAAGTCTAAAATTTTTGTTACATTAAAAAAGCAAAAAATTAAT